ATTTATGTTAATAATAGCTCTTTATTCAAATTAATGTCTTATTATTTTCACCAAGGATGCAACTCTTTTAAACTGTGGTTCATTCAGTAGCAGATTTACCTACACCTAGATTTATAACAGTTTTTATGCTGACTGCTTTTAATAATTCCATAACAGACTCTGGGAGTAAGGAATGAAAGGACAGGGGAAATATTTTTTCCCAGATGAACCTAGAAGAGTGTCAGCAGAAATCATGAGAATGCTGTTTTGAATTATTTCCATCTTAAGTGTGAGATATTCTGGATGTCCGTAAGCCGCTGTGTATCAGCGGTGTGCCCAGGTTGAGAAACCAAGGTCTTTGGGCTCTGGGCTTTTCTGACTCATGGGCATCATATTTTCTTTCAAGACTTCATTCTTCATCACGTTAGTAGTTTCCCAAATGTAATGATTCAAGAGAAAACATCAATAGCAAGATTATTCTTGTTAGCATTATCTTTGGATACTGTGAGTGTATTGTGATGCTGGCTGGCTATTTTGAGGTCAGAACATAAATATGTTTTTCCACTTTAAATAGATTACTTTTCTCTTATGAAAAGTTTGAAATATATTAACACTAATACTGTCAATTTATCCTGTTAATAATAATTAATCTGATTCTTCTGTTTTGTCACATTATTGTACTACATAATATTCTTTTTTAATAATTCTTTATTGTTGAAAGTATTACTTATGTCCCCCTTTTTTCCTCATTGATTCCCTCCAGCACCCCCACCACCCTTTCTACATAATATTCTAATGAAAATAAATGAGCAGTTCTGAAAATTTACTGCTTTCTGTTACTTTCCTCTTATTAAAACAAGGAATGAATCACCCATTATAAGATTTTGAATACTAGATTAACTTTTTGAACAGTTTGTGAAACTATGGGCATTTTGTTGACTAAAATACTTTCTTTCCTCCATTTTGTAGATAATTTGAAGAAGAGAGGGTATGATTCAGATACTTAGACCTGCACACATAGACTCACACCTGCAGTGTCTGCTTGTCCGGTCTCTCTCATACCTGAGTGCTCACCTGCCTACCTTGTGTGAATAACCTTGAGCGTTCACTGAATGGCTTCCTTGAATTCCCCCATCCCATGTATTTGCACGCCTGGTTCTCTGATGTGTGTCTCCTTCTTAGGAATATGCTTGTCCCACAGTATCATAGACCTCTCTAATTTTAACTGAAGTCTCCTTCCTGGCCCTTTCCTGGCCAGTTAAGTTTTGTAGCTACCCATGCTCCTGCCAGATACCCCAACTAAAACCAGATAGGGTGTTCTGGAAAATTAATAATCATCACATAGATGATAGGAGTATGGTTATGGTAAAATATATATATATATATATGTATATATATATACATATATATATATATATATTAGAGCTACATACTGAAATATTTATGGAAAAATAATAGTGGCTTCAAAATAATTATTGGTAGAAAATAGGTATTATATTTAAATTAAAATATCAATTGGGAATTGGGAATTGTTAAAGCTAAACATTGGTTTTATGAAAATCATAATATATTTTCTCTACTTTTGTATATGTTTAAGTTAACATATGTAATAATTAAAACCCATGTTGATCCTCTACTTTAGCCCAGACTTCTGAGCTTGAATGTATTTAGCATTAATCTCCTAATGTTTTAGAGCATTTTAGGACCCTTAGAAATTATCTCCAGCAAACTCATCTTACAGGTAAAGTAATTAATTCCCTTTGCCAAACAGCATACTACTAACGAGTAGCCGAATGAGGCCTAGTGATCATGTTTTCTAATTTCTTAATCCAGCCCTGCCAAAAGTGTCAGGAAGAGAGCTGCTATTTGGACGTCACAAGATGTCCCACCTCATTGTATGGAAACACTTCTTTCTTGAGCAATTGCTTCCTTTGCCTTAAGCAAAGAAAGGTTCTGATATAAGATACCAAGCATCAAAAGGAAGATGAATGATCCAATTAAAAAATGGGCAATGGACCTAAATAGAATATTTTCAAAAGAAGACAGAAGGAAGGCCAAAAGGCACATGAAAACATGCTCAAAGTCACTAATTATCCGAGAGATGCAAATCAAAACAACATTGCGGTACCATCTCACACCTGTCAGAATGGCCAACATCAACAAATCAACGAACGACAAGTGTTGGCGAGGTTGCGGAGAAAAAGGAACCCTCGTGCACTGCTGGTGGGAATGCAGACTGGTGCAACCACTGTGGAGAAAAGTGTGGAGTTTCCTCAAAAAACTGAAAATGGAACTCCCATTTGACCCAGTAATCCCACTTCTAGGAATATATCCCAAGAAACTAGAAACACCGATCAGAAAGGATATATGTACCCCGATGTTCATAGCAGCACAATCTACAATAGCTAGAATCTGGAAACAGCCTAGGTGCCCGCCAGCAGATGATTGGATCCAAAAACTGGTACATCTACACAATGGAATACTATGCTGCCATAAAAAGAAGGAATTCTCATCATTTGCAGCAACCTGGATGGAATTGGAGAACATCATGCTGAGTGAAATAAGCCAATCAATGAAAGAGAAACACCACATGACCCCACTCATTTGTGGTTAATAAAGAACATTATAAACTGATGAACCAAAAGATAGATATAGAGACAGTAAAGCAACAAGCAGATTGTCAAATTACAGCGGGGAGGGGAGGAGGATCTGGGGGAGATAATAAGTCAACTCAAGGACTTGTATACATGCATATAAGTACAACCAATGGACATAAAACTCTGGGGAGGGAGGGGATATGGGTGAGGGAGGGAGGGGGGCAAAAAAAATCAATAAAATATGGGGGGAAAAAAAGATACCAAGCATCATGATTTATATCAGTCTCTCATCACTTGGTTGTGTGGCCATTTTAGTCCTAAGTGTTTATCACCCCAATACTTCCAAGTCAATAACCAAAGCTGCTATTTCAGAGAGCTTTTGTAAAGCAGAGAATCATTTGGTAAAGATGCTTTCCAATTCCGGATATATTTCTGTGTAAATGTTTAAGTGAAAGTGAAGTTCTGCATCTCTCTCCTTCATAACCACCTCTTCTAAGGAGGTTTTCCTGTGGGGAGGTGAATTCCTGAACAATGCCCACATTGTCCACTTGGCCCCAGAGACTAGTTTGGTCTGGAAAAACAAAATCTGATTATAGCTCTGAGACAGTTTCCCAGGGTTTGGTTCAATCTTGGACCAAGCAAGTTGAAATGAGATCAGTCTTGGAATTTTAAGCTGAAATGAGCCTTCCTCTCCATATGACACTTTGAGGGGGAAAAGAAAAAAAAAGATGGGACAATCATGGAGAGATCAGGCTTTTATTAGAGTGTTTATAGTTGGGTTTCTTTCTTTTTCAGATGGATGAATCAAATGATGATATAGACCAAATGTTCAGCAATTTGCTGGGAGAGATGGATCTTTTGACCCAGGTAAATCTCTTTCTTTAACTATCAAATTGGGGGGGGGGGGGGGGAAGGGGAGGAGAAATAGGGTTACAAAATTTGATTGTAATTTGAAGAGAGCTATCTTTTTTTTTAATGGACATTGATGATATTATATATTGCTGATGTAACTATAACAGGGCAGGAGCGGGGGGAATAAAGCATTTTTCCTAATTATACCTGAGTTCAGTTGATTGAATACATTGGTCATACATACCTTCTGCTTTGGCAATTTCCATGCTCTTCATGGCCAATCATTCAGCCAATGGAGGGATTTTCTGCAAATGAATCCCTCCCACAACCACCAGCACTGAACAATCTCCCTGCACTTACCTTTATAGAAAGACTAGGTATGAAAATTAGCACAGTATTTGAGGAAATGCTATATTTTAAAGGACTAAAAGGAAGTTACTGTAGTCTCTTTACACTGTAAGAACTTTGTCCCTTCAAGTAGTATGAAAGCCACTTAGCCATAGAAAGACCAGATTAACTCAGGGTCAGTCACTAGTGACTGGAGCCCAGAGGCTGCTGACCCAGGTTACAGAGTCAGGCAACCTAGAGTGCCTTGTAATGTTCTCATAAAATCAGAGCAAGTTCATCACTTTCTGCAAAAAATATTGAAATAAAAACAACCCAATATTCCTAAATAAGGTAGGGATCTTAAACTTTTCTACCAAATAAATGAAAAATAGTGTGTGTTTTTCTAGAAAAAATGTATAGTACATATGTTACAAATGCATCATTACAAGAAATTTTTTTATTGTTTGTAAAAATTAACTTTCTCATTCTCATCATTCTTGGTTGGCCTGTTTTGTTTAAAGATGTACTTTCTAAGATAATTTATAATATTATGCAGGGGGGAAATCACATAAAATATTATCAAATCAAAGTATTTTAAAAGAACATATGTAGAGAGAAAATGTGTAAACAATACATGACTTTTGACTTAATGATTAAATGTGCTGTAAAAATGTTAGTCTCATGATTAACTTTGGGGGGGGGCGGGGACTTGTTTCCACAGAGTTTAGGAGTGGACATTCTTCCTCCTCCAGACCCTAAACCTCCCAGGGCTGAATTTAACTACACTGTGGGTTTTAAGGATTTAAATGGTAAGCATAATCATTTCTTTCCTTAAATAATTTTAAATTATAATAATGACTAAAATCTGTGTGAAACTACAATTTGAAAATAACATTCAAGGAACCTGGACACCATAATGAGTATAATTTTTATAATTCTGAACTTCAAATTGCATTTTTTATGTGTATGGATTGAATTGAAAGGGTAAAAAGATATTTTTGCCTGTAATGAAAGGTAACACTATCCTGCAATTGTGTAGTGTCAAAACTAACTAATTTTTTACAATATATTTTATTAATTTTTTTACAATTTATTTTATTAATTTTTTACAGAGATAGAGAGCTAGAAACGTCAATGAGAGAGAAACATCTACCAGCTGCCTCTTGCACACCCCCTACCGGGGATGTGCCCGCAACCAATGTACATGCCCTTGACTGGAATCGAACCTGGGACCTTTCAGTCCGCAGTCCGACGCTCTACCACTGAGCCAAACCGGCTTTGGCTCTAATTTGTTTTTTAAGAAGTAAAAGGAATTTTTAAATAAACCATTAGAGAAATAAAGCACAGTAATATAAAAAACTAATAAGTAAATGTTTCTTCAAGGATAATGTTGAGCCGAAACCGGTTTAGCTCAGTGGTAGAGCGTCGGTCTGCGGACTGAAAGGTCCCAGGTTCGATTCCGGTCAGGGGCATGTACATTGGTTGCGGGCACATCCCCAGTGGGGGGTGTGCAGGAGGCAGCTGGTTGATGTTTCTCTCTCATCGACGTTTCTGGCTTTCTATCTCTCTCCCTTCCTCTCTGTAGAAAATCAATAAAATATATTTTTTTTAAAAAAGGATAATGTTGAACTGTTTGTTGAATAAAAATTGATAATATATAAATGGATGCTTCCAAATATAATATAATATATTTTAATTTCTATATAATTTGATGTATTTGCTCAGTTTGACATTTTTTATTCTTCCTAAGATTGTCATGTTATTTTATTAACGAAACTATCTCTTTTATTTAGAGACTATCTTTAGCCCATGTGCTAAGTCACATTAAGTGAAATTTGAAGTAATCACTTCCAAATGAATGAAAATTCATTGCAATTCTTGAAAAAGATTTTCCAAAGAATGGCAGTGCTTACCAAAAAATTAAAAACAAAATAATAGAGAAATCAGGTTACAGTTTTATAAAATTAGAACATTAATAGATAGCGTAGACTTGCACATATGATCAGTGAAGATTTGCCTTCCACACTCATATATGAAACGTTTCCTCTTTTTTATAAAGACATGTAGGTTCTCTTCTCCCTGCAAATTTCAGTCATACAATACACTGCTATTAATTATGGTCACCATTAGACCCTCAGACCTTATTCATCTTATAACTGAAAGTTTTTACCCCTTTACCAGCCTTTCCTTATTGTCCTATACCCACTCTCAATCCCTTGAGACCAGTATTCAAATATTATTCTGAAAATTACCTTTATCCTGTTTTTTTAGGCACAAATCTTTGTTTTGATTATTAATGTAATTTTCCCTTATCAGAATCCTTAAATGCACTGGAAGACCAAGATTTAGATGCGCTCATGGCAGATCTGGTAGCAGATATAAGTGAAGCTGAACAGAGGACAATCCAGGCACAGAAAGAGTCTTCTCAGAGTCCGTATCATCCGGCCCCTCTGGAAGTGTCACCTTTCAGTGGCTCAGCCACTCCTGGTTACGATGCAAATGTCGTTGCAACTAGTATAAGCCAATATGAGGATGATTTACCACCTCCACCAGCAGACCCCATGTTAGACCTGCCTCTGCCACCACCACCTCCTGAACCTCTCTCTCAGGTAAGTGCCTGGGGCAGAGATGGAAGGACCTCTGCTACCCATCATTTTTATTTTCTTCAAAGTGAGAGTGACATTCATAAGCTGTACCCCAAAAGCTCTGAGATAGTAAAAAACAAGGATACTGAGAATGTTCATTGGAAAGGCAGAGTTCTCTAAAAATAAGACCCTTAGGTGTGTATAAAGAACATATTAAGGCCATAATCAGGAATTATAGTTTGGCTAAAATCTGTATTTATATGCACACTTCCTGCTAATAATCAACTTTTAAGGGTGTTTCATTAATGTGGTCTGAATGTGGAACTGATTTATACATTTCTGTGTCCCTGGTGCTAGCCCAGCGCATGAAGCATTCCTTACATATTTCTGAATTGAACTAAATGGAATTTTGCTGAATTGGTCAGCCCTGTTCAACAGGGCAAAGATATATCTAAAAATCACTTGTAATGTTGTAGTTAGGGAAGGGTGCTGTGAGCAGGTAGGTGATGAGTACTTGATATTAATACATTTGTGAAAACTGGGAAAACAACTAGGTCGATGTGGTCATTTGGGATCTCATCTTATAACATTTCTCTCATAAAGTAAAAAAAAAAAAAAAAAAAAAAAAAAACACTTTTAAGGTTTCTTAGAGTAAAACACTTCCAAATGTTTTAGCCCTGGCCAGTTTCTCAGTGGTTAGAGCATCCACCTGGGAACCAAAGAGTCATTGTTTCATTTCTGGTCAAGGGCATGTACCTCAGTTAAGGATTCCAGCCCCATCCTGATCAGGGCACATGTGGGAGGCAACCAATCACTGTGTCTCTCACACTTCAATGTCTCTCTCTCTCTCTCTCTCTCTCTCTCTCTCTCTCTCTCTCTCTCTCTCTTTCCCTCCCTCTCTCTCTTTCTCTCTTTCTCCCTCTTCCTTCCATTCTCTCTAAACATCAATGGAAACTCAGATGATGATTAAATATATATATTAAAGAATATCATCCCATTTCTTGTGATTTCCATATTTGTTGAACTGTGTGATGATAGTCAGTGTTCATAAATATGACCCTAATAACCCTGACAGTTTCTATAATGCCTTTAGAATGAACAAATATTAAATATAAATTAAATATTAAATCATATTCATTGCTATATTGTCTATTTATTGTAGAAAACTTATTTTAAAATTGGTGATCCATAGCCTGGCCAGTGTGCTCAGTGGTTGAGCATCAACCCAGGAACCAAAAGGTCATACATAGTTCAGTTCCTGGTTCATGCTCTGGTTGCAGCCTGATCCCCAGTAGGGGGCATACAGAAGGCAGCCAATCGATGACGTTTCTCTTTCATTGATGTTTCCATCTCTATCCCTCACCCTCTAAAAATAAATAAAAATATATTTATTTTTTTTAAATTGGTGATCCACATAGAGCAGAGGCTCTTTTTTCACTTTTATTGAGCTGTATTTAACGTAATATTCTATAAGTTTAAGGTGTACAACACAATGATTTGATACAGGGATTGTGAAATAATTTCACAGTAAGATTAGTTAACACCTCCATCACTCTACATAGTGTACATAGTTCCCTTTTTTGTGTATATGTAAAGAGAACATTTAGATCTTCTGTCTTAACAACTTTCAAGTATATATCGATACAACAGTATTTTTTACTATAGTCACCACGCTGTATGTTAGATCCCCCAAACCTACTTACCATATAACTGGAAGTTTGTACCTTTTCAGCAACATCTCCCTATTTCCCTCATCTCCCATGCCCTAGCTCCCACCACTCTACTCTCTGTTTCTATGATTAGATTCCACATTTAAGTGAGATCATACAGTATTTGTCTTTCTCTGCCTGACTTATCTCACTTAACATAATGCCCTCATGACTCATTCATATTGTCATAAATGGCAGAACTTTTTTCTTTCTTGTCTTTACATATACAAATAGGTTGTGTTTTTTATTATCGAGAGAGAGAGATAAAGAGAGGGGGAAACATAGATTGGTTGCCTCCTGTACATTTGGGGACAGGAATCAAACCCACAACCTAGGTATGTGCCCTGATCAGAATTAAACCCAAAACCTTTGGGGTACTGATGACACTCCAACCAACTGAGCCACCAGCTGGGGCTGAAACTCTATACCTAGTATTAAATGATAATTCCCTATTCCCCCTTCCCTGAAGCCCCTGGCAACTACTATTCTACTGTCTGTCTCTATGAACTTAAATACTCTAAGTACCTCATATGAAAATAGTTCTGGAGATGGATGGTGGTGATGGTTGCAATTAAAATGTGGTTTTTTTTTCAGTATATAATTTCTGAAAGTGCTCAAATCCCTTAGATACCCGTATAAATTCCTCATATTGCACCCCAGGTTTGAGCCAAGCAGAGACTTTTTGGATCAAATATGTAAAGTTCTGTTAGCCTTCTATAATTCTAGGCTGGAGATTTTTGTTATGGTTACTTAATTCTGAAAATCGATCATGTGAAATTTGGTGCCCTATAATATAGCCTTTTGCTAACATAAAGTAACTAAGACACTAGCAATGGCACAGGTGTTTACTTGCTGGTATCCTTTAATGGAGTGGGTTGAATGTTATTTTACAGGAAGAACAAGAAGCCCAGGCGAAGGCTGATAAAATTAAGCTGGCATTGGAAAAACTGAAAGAGGCCAAAGTCAAAAAGGTAAACTACGAATTGCTTTTGCATGGAGAAGCTAATGAGATTTTATTATACTTAATTCTTTAAAAATAAAATGTCAAGTGCTACTTTCCAAATAATTATAATGTTTTTTAATTTAATGACAAAGATAAATGATATAGATACTCCTTCTATGACATCAGCTAGATCCTTCATGATTGATAAATAGGAGACTTATGTTAATATACATGTGGATGTTTTGAAGCCTCTCTACCTAGGGTTCCCTCACACTCAAGGGGCCTCGCTGGTTCTGCTCAGCTGTTAGCTAATAGCAGGGGGCACCACTTCTGGGCCCACCTTACCTGGGTCAGAGCTCAGCTTCTGTTGACCTTGCCTCCATCTCAGCATTTCTGAGATTGCTTTTGTGCATTTTTCATATTCCCTGACGCAGTCATATTCCACCCTCAATGCCTGTCCTGGATGTCCAACTTATCTCCCAATGTACCAAAGACTGATTTGCAGTGCTCTGGTTCAGAGTTGCATACGTTTTAGAGACTGCCCTTAATCTTTCCCCAAATAAGCCTATAGTTTTACTGTGCATTTTTTGTAGAGCATGAGTTTTTCAGGAGTATTCATTGTATTATAACAGAAACAACTATATTTAACTTTAGTAGAAGCATATACCTAATTAAAGTTAATAATAGAAAATTGATAAAGAAAAAGATGAACCAGTTTTGTCTTATTTCAATTTCTGAAGCACATACCATCTGATGCTGAGACTCCTTAAGAGCTTCTCACAGTGAAATGAGTTGGGTGAATCATTGTTTCACATAGGGCATTGGACTTTATGTTTATGGTCCTTTGAGTAAAAGTGTTCAATACATGTTGATTGATATTCAAAAAATATTCCATAACTATCCTTGGATGCAGACTTTTTTTTTAATTGACTGATTTTTAGAGAGATAAAGAGAAAGCAAAAAATACACATCATTTTGTTGTTCTACTTATTCATGTATTCATTAGTTGATTCTTTTTTTTAAAATATGTTTTTATTGATTTCAGAGAGAGGAAGGGAGAAGAAGAGAGAAATAGAAACTTAAACGAGAAACATTGTCTTTTTTTTAAAATATATTTTATTGATTGTTTATAGAGAGAAAAAGAGAGAAAGAGGGAGAGAGAGAGCTAGAAACATCAATGAGAGAAAAACACTGACTAGCCGCCTCCTGCACACCCCCCAATGGGGATGTGCCCACAACCAATGCACATGCCCTTGACCAAAATCGAACCTGGGACCTTTCAGTCCACAGACCGATGCTCTATCCACCGAGCCAAACCGGTTTCGGCCATTGTCATTTTTTTAATTTGACAATCTAAGGGAAAAGAGATCAGTGCTCCTGACTAAGTAGTCAAGTATTGCATATTTTAAAAATTCTTATGGCACACCAATTGAAAATTGATACTATGTTTTTGGATTAGAAAAGGGAAGCTTTTCATTCTTGAATCATTTTACCTATATTGTATCACATAGTATATTAATAGATATGAAAAGTAAGTAGTTTGCTAAATCACACAACTGCGATTTAGCAGTGTTATGTGTTAGTATACCAGTACATACTCTTCAGTTTGCAAATGTGATGGAAGCTGTAAAAGATAATAAACATGATTTCTTTTTGCTAAAACTTACCAGCCTTCTTTTGGTTTTCTTGTTTTCTAAGTTTTATACTTAAGGGCATTTATAACTACATGTGGATTAAATTTAGTTTGCAACTTATGCTAGAAAAAATCTCATCATTGTCAAATTAGAAGATTTATTTTTTTTCTCCATATATAAAAATAAAACACCAGCATGTTTTATTTTCTCAAGATTTTTTATGTAAGAATGAAATGTGGTCATATATCATTAATTTTTCCATCAGGAAAATTAAGTCTTCTAAATCCCAGCTTTGGTAATGTTTCCTAGGACATATAGCTACTTTATAGCGATTTTCAAGTGGTGTGTCACAAGAACTCTTAAGACACGCAGTACCTTAGATTGTCAAATAAGAAAATGACAACAGCCAACACAACAATAGCTATCCAGTGAATGAATCAAAATTATACCTTTTCTTTTTTGTCAGATCAGCAAAAATTATATATTTTGGGGGATGCTGCAGAATTTTAGAAATTCATTTCTGTGTGCTATGAAGTGAAAAACGTTGAAAATTGCTGCTTTATAACAATAATTCTCAGCAGAGATCAAAGGGTATACCTTCCATAGAAAATAAGTCATAGTTAAGACCACTATTTAAGGAATGCATCCTTTCTGGGTAACCCTCCAGGCCTTATTATGTAGGTCAGGTGAATGTGTCTTTGGCACTGGACCTATCATTTTAAATGCACAGAAGACAAACATGAATGAAAGTAACGATCCAACAGGAGGTTTCTGAGCTACAGGTTTTCAAGGGGGGAAAGGTGTTCTTAGGAAGCTTGAATTTGAATGGTCACAAGAGCCGGAAATGCACTTTTCCTGCCCTGGTCTCTATATTTTGACTCTTAAGAAGACAAGGACCACATTAAGCATGTCAAACTCACAGCCTGAGAGCCACTTGTCTCATTTATTTGACCCATGTTAGCCTTTGAGTTTGACATGCTTGCACTGCATGAAGCGGCAACCTGTCACCCTTGCCTGCTGCTAACCCAGATTTTTATCTTGTTTGCTATCAGTAACTCTGCATAACAGTCGGAGGGAACTGCACCTTCACTCGGTTGACAACATGATGTTCTGAAAATCAAATTAGGTGGGAGTGGGATGGAAGGTGGAGTTTCCCAACATGTTCAGAATCTAACCCAAACTTTTGGGGAGGAAGATATGTTACCAATTGTATGGCCACTTTCTCCAGTCCACCTGATTACTTTTTAAATAATGATAAGTCTCATTTGTGAATTACCATGACCAACCCTAGGGAAATAGAATAGGCAGAACTTGTCTATAGCTATTTCATACTTCCCTTTCTAATTTTTCAAGTTAGAATAAAAATTTAAGCCCTAGTGGTTTAGCTCAGTGGATAGAGTGTCAGCCCTTAGACTGAGGGGTCCCTGGTTCTATTCCAGTCTAGGGCGCATACCTTGTACATTGATAGCAGGTTCAATCCCCAGCCCTGGTCAGGGCACATATGGGAGGCAACCTATCAATGTGTCTCTCACATTGATGTTTCTCTCTCCCTGTCTATTCTCCTCCCTTCCACCCTCTGAAAAAAAAAAAAAAAAAAAAAAAAAGAATATAAATTTAAGCAAGAGTATCAGATGGTTCTGGTTGGTGATATTTACAGGATTTCTCTACTGGTTGTGTGTGGAGTAGCTGTGTGCACTGCAGGCTGGAGGTTGTGCAGTAATTGTCTTAGAATTCTTGGGTTGCATGAAAAGGGACTCCTCTCCAACTAAAAAAAAAAAGAAGAAGAAGAAGAAGAAGAAATCTGTTGTGTGACTTTCAATCAAGAAATGGTTCTGAGACAAGGGAGGGAGGGAGGGAGGGAGGGGGGGAGGGAGGGAGGGAGGGAGGGAGGTAGGTTTGTACATGTCAAAAAAAGAAAAAAGAAATGAAATCTCTGAGCTCCAGGATGAACCTGAATAAGTCAAATGTCAGGAAATGTCAGGAAAACAGGAAGTCGGTACTTCCTTGGTTCTGTTTGTCTTCTGCCTCCCTCATTAGAATACAGTCTCTTGCAGAGCAAAAAACTTTGTTTATCGTACATTTTTTATTTTTTGTGATTGGTTTCTCCAGCTCTATATTCCTAGTACCTTAAACAAGTATTCAGAGTGTGAATGAATTCATATTAAGTCCATTTGTGGAACACTTATTTAAATTAGCAGAAGCAATAGCAACTTTGAAACCTTAAATCTTGGTGGTCTTCTTTAGTGATTGACATTGAGCGGCTGCTCTGTGGCTTTATCCTCAGCTGGTCGTCAAGGTGCATATGAATGATAACAGCACAAAGTCGCTGATGGTGGATGAGCGGCAATTGGCCAGAGACGTTCTAGACAACCTTTTTGAGAAAACCCATTGTGACTGCAGTGTAGACTGGTGTCTTTATGAAATATACCCAGAACTACAAATTGGTAAGTCCCAAAAATCTTTGGGTTTGCTTTAATATGGGTTTTTGTCTATTCAGAAGGATTTGATTGAAGGGCATCAAGACTTCCAGGACATCACTTCCCTTCTGCCAGATTCAGTTCTTGTCTCTTCATTTCTTATTGGGGAAGAAATGAAGAAGCAAAATTATAGCAGATGGCCATACCTTGGGAAATGTAAACATTATTCCTGTCGCTTCTCTTATGGCTCCTAAGGGAAAGAAAGTGACAGGATAATACTTCATATTACATAATTATAAGCTGAGCAGATTATGTGTATCTGTATGCTAATGTTTCTTTAGAGTTCCCATTTTTAACTATAGTTTAATTCTGCTTCACATTACTGTCCATTTTCCCTTTCTTCCTCCCACTCACCTAATGTCTGATACTTTGTCTAGTTAGAGACGGCTCCACCCCAAAGAGCAAAGTTGATAGAAATTGACCTATCGATAGTTTAAAGAAGAAAGAAAAATTAAAGAAATACTGTTACTTCTCATTCTCAGTGCCACTCACAGAGCAATTATCTCCCTGGAAAGCTTGGTAGCACAGAGAATTTCCTGTTTTAGAATCTGTCAGAGACAGCAGGAGCCCTGCATGAGCTCTGGTGCTCTGAAGATCTGAGTTTGATTCAATTCTTGGCCGAGGGGCAGATGGAGAAGCCATGAGAGGTTGTGGGTGTATAAGAATGAATCTTTATTGCAGAAGCCAGTGGGCCACATAGCCATCAGGCAAAACATTTCCTTACAGCAAAGTCCATTCAGGCAGGCAGCCGACACTAGCTGGTTAACATGTACATCTTTCCCACAAAAGCAGCATTAGGCTCCGTACCCTCTGCATACTGCCCCCTAGACTCACTGCCTCTCTGGCTCAGTAGCTTCTCCTGTCTCCCCTGCCCAGCACACTGGCTAGTTAACATAGTAACTATATCTGAGCTCTCTATGAGCTCTTAGCCTTACATCGTAGCAGTTCCAGCTCTCAGCTCCATCTGAGCTCTCTTCTCTACTGCACACACAGGCTATATTCTCTGTGCTTATCATCTCTCTTCCCTGAGCACTCCAACCTCGGCTCAGCTGCTCTCTCTCTAGCAGACTCCCAGTCAAAGAAGTCTAGTTTCCAACAGTGACATCAATCATTTTGGCTGCAGAAGGGCATAGTGTACCGTGTGTCCTTGTACCTGCTCATGGCATCTTGGCCTTGTGCACCCCGATTAGGCTCATGCTCAGAGCAGCCTTGGCCATTCTGATGTATTGACAACAAGGTATCTGTGCTCCCATTGGCCTTGACTATCCAGGGACCCTGGCGTGGTTCCCACGGAAGCTTTTAGTGAAATTTTTATCTGGAGGAAATGGCCTACACTGAAAGAACCTCTTGAAGTTTTCTTCAACTCTGAGTCAAGTAGAAAAGTGAAAGCCTTCCTGTATGTTTAAGTTTGGGTCCCATATTCATGTATTGTTTTAAGAGCTTAAGGAATGATGTTTTAGGGAGCTTATCTCACATCTCATAGTTGTTTAAACCAATTATTGCCTAATTTTCCTCCTTACAGAGAGGATATTTACCTCTACCTAAAACTATTAACAGTCAAAAATGCTAATATGATGCAATGGCTGACCATTATTACTATAGTGTAGGTTCATGTTTTTATGGGAAATAAGTTGAAGAACTGACATGCTAAAGAGAAATATAATAGGAATGTTACAATGTGACATCATCTAAGAAATAGAAGTTCCTAAAAACCTATGTGAAGTATGAGGCATTGTGCTTAACTCAATACTGTCTTGTTTTTCTTGTTTCATCAGAAAGGTTTTTTGAAGACCATGAAAATGTTGTTGAAGTCTTATCAGACTGGACAAGAGACACAGAAAATAAAGTGGTATTTTTGAAGAAAGAGGAAAAATATGCTGTATTTAAAAACCCCCAGGTAAGATAACTTATATATTGATAAGCCATATAAAAATGGAGGTTGTTTTTAACCTTCTGTGGACTAACCACATCATTCATTACCTCACAAAATATCACAAATGTATTCCTTTCAAAGAAACATAGCTCAACTCTTAGGCCATATGAAAACTAAGAGCCCCTTGAGAGTCCAGAAAGAAAATAATCCATTTTTTTCTTTTGATTCATCACCCAAAACACATCAATCCATTACTAGACCTTCTTTTGCATCCTTATTTCTCTTTAGCTGCATTAATTCAATATACCTTTTGTACCCTGGGTCATTACTGCTTCATATTTTGAAGATACTTTTTTTTTGTTCTTCATATTTGTTGCTTATTGATACTGGGATGACCAAAAGACACACCTGGAAAATGCACAACTTTTTGTGCTTCAGTTCTATAGTCCACTTAATAAAAAGCATTGTTTCCTATATTTGGAAAGCTTCCTTCAAGTTGTGTGTACAAGAATGTCACAGAAGTCTAGGCTTTCCCACTGTAGCCTCCAGCTGACTATAATTGCATAATGGTCATTAAGTCTTTTCAGGAAAGTCAAAGAACTCCAAACACAGATGAGAGCCTTGGAGACATCCAGACACCTCTAGATATTACAGGTTAAAAAAAGAAAAGTCTCATTTACTACAGTCAGAATTAAAGGATACTCTAGAGCAGCTTTCTCACGGGAAAATGTTCTTTCCCCTGTACTGTGCTTTTCTCAAGGGTCTTCCCTAGTTGTGTGGTGGCAGACTGACAACAAAGCCATTAAATACTGTTGTCTGTGACAAATAGGAAACAATAAAAGTACAAAGTCTTCAAACCATAACTGCCTTCAACACCACGCTTTAATGACTCTATTAGTTAGAATGCCATCTGAGCTAGAAGCTTATTTCTTCCTCACATACCAACCCAGACATGGGTTGGAAGACTTGGTAGAATGGTTCTACCATGCTGAACATGTGACTTTCATCCCTAGGTACAAGGCTGCTTTCCACCTGGCCATTCCCAGTCTGTATAAGGGGAGGAAAGAGCCAGGGGAGTATACCACCAGAATTCTTACTGGAAAGATCTGGAAATGGCTCTTTACTTAGTTTATATCCCATTGACCAGAACTTAGCTATGTGGTGATAGTGAACTATAAGGGAAGCTGAGAAATGTGGTCTCTGCCAGAACAGCTGTTACAGGCACCTCTCACAGACACCAGAGAGGGGTTGTTGACCAACCTCCTGAGTTAGGGGGTGGGATTTGGGAGATGGAGAGGCAGGAGGGAGGGCTGTCCTCTCCTCAATTCCTGCCTTCTTGTATGAATGAATTCAAATGAGTAACTCCAGATAATTGTATTGTGTTAAATTTATTAGGAAAGTAAAACATGCACATTTATTAAAGGAGCAAAGCAAAGAAATCCATCATCTGGCATAAAGTGTAGATGGGCTCTCTTGGCTAATCAGAGGAGCGAGTAGAGGGGGTTGCCTTGTATTTATTTTAACTATAGATCTTTATATTCCTCTGCCAAACATCTTGGTACAAATTAATATTCAAGATCACCCTTTGGGATTATCTTTCAAACCCCAAGACTGCTGGGTTTTCTGTCTTTGGAGATACATTAATCATTTGCTCTCAAGTGTCCTAGGCTGGGGGAAAGTAAGGGCTTGCTATTTACAAGCTGGCTGCAGGCTGCCAAACTGTTTTGTCTTGTTTAATTTTCTTGTCTCAGTTTCCCTATTCTTCCTGCCTTGAAATTTTTATAGCTTCTTGCTATCCTGTAACACAGCCACACTCATAGCTGAATTTGGGGAATTACAATTAGGGCCACCACTTGCGTCACTCCTCCACATTGAGTCTATAAGAACAGCACCCAGCAAGAGAACCAACATGGCAGCAGGCATGGGAGCGAGAGTAGGAATATGAGTGGGTGAGTGGGAGTGAGGGAGAGTGTCAGTGGGTATGAGTGTGGGTGGGCATCTGTTGGTCAGTGGGGGAACTACAGTCAGGCTGTTTGGGTACTCCTGATGGAGGAGTTGCCAACCACTGTTGTATGCTGCTCGACCAGGCACTTCTCTATGCTTGCGATTGGAGAGCAGGCCATTGTGGAGGACCCTCAAGGTCCTTCTCAGGAGGAGACTGTGGGGAACAGCCATGTCCTAGGTCCCTTAGATGACAGACAGGTGCACAAAGCCCCACTGCTGGGACCCAATGCCCCGAACACATGGGACAATCTTAGTGACCCAGCATGCCTGAACCTTGGCCCCTGAACAACTTGCCCCCCTGCCTTGATGGGCAGCCTGCCCTGCCACCCTGGTGTTCTACACTCCAGACTTCCCTGCCTCTCCACCAACAGAGCAACTGCCCGCCCCTCTGCTTTGACCAGTGGAGTGTGTGACCTGCCCACACCCTGGGCCAGTGGAGCACCTAGCCCTCCCCCTTCCTTCACCAGTGGACCCCACCCTGCCTTGCCTCCTCAACCAGCTGAGCACCCACCCCCCTCTTTTCACCCAGTGCCCCATACTACAAGACTGCTAAAATGGGGAAACAAAAAAAAACAACCCCCAAATGAAAAAAAAAATAAGACTTAATCGCAGAAAGGAAACTAAATGAAATGAAAACAAGCAATTTTGTCAGATAAAGAATTCAAAGTAATGGTTAAAAGGGTGTTTAAACAACTTAGTGAGAACTACAAGCAACTTAATGGGGACTATAAGGAACTTAATGAGAATGACTCTAGCATGAAAAAAAAAATAGAAACAATGAATAAGAATCAAGCAGAAATTAAGAATGACATAGCTGAAATAAAGAATATCCTGGAGCCAGATAGTCATAGCTCAATGGTTGAGCATTGACTTATGAACCAGGAAATCACAGTTCAATTCCCAATCAGGACCCATGCCTGAGTTGTGGGCCCAGTCCTCAGTGTGGGGCATGCAGGAGGCAGCCATTCAATTATCCCTCTCATCATTGATGTTTCTATCTCACTCTCCATGTCCTTTCCTCTCTGAAATCAATAAAAATGTATTTTTTTAAGAATATCCTGGAAGGAATGAACAGTAGACTAGAAGAAGCTGAGTACTGAATAATCAAATTAGAAAATAAGTAGGAAAAAAAAAAAAAAAAGCAAAACGCCCATTCAGAGAAGCAATTGAAAAATAAATTAAAGCCAAGACCGGTTTGGCTCAGTGGATAGAGCGTCAGCCTGCGGACTGAAAGGTCCCGGGTTCGATTCCAGTCAAGGGCATGTACCTTGGTTGTGGGCACATCCCCGGTAGGGGGTGTGCAAGAGGCAGCTGATCGATGATTCTCTCTCATCGATGTTTCTGACTCTCTATCCCTCTCTCTTTCTCTCTGTGAAAAATCAATAAAATCGATTTAAAAAAAGAAAAATAAATTAAAAAGCAAGAAGCAAGTAAGGGAGCTTTGGGAAAACATGAAATTTAATAGCATCTGCGTTATAGGATGTGAGAAAGAAGAATATGAGCAAGGAATAGAGAACCTATTTGAAGAAATAATGACAAAAGATTTCTCTGACCTGGGAAAGGAAAAAGTCACATGAGTCCAGGAAACACAGGGAGTCCCAATTAAAATGAACACAAAAAGACCCACACCTAGACACATCATAATTAAAATAGCAAATGTTAAAGACAAAGAAAGAGTCTTACAGGCTGCAAGAGAGACAGAAAGTCACCTACAAAGGAGCTCCCATTAGAATATTAGTGGATTTCTCGATAGAAACACTTGAGGTCAGAAGGGAGTAGCATGATGTATACAAATTAATCAAGACCAAGAGGCTGAACCCAAGACTGCTCTATCTAGCAAGGCTATCATTCAAAATGAAGGTGAAGTGAGGAGCTTCACAGGCAAAACAAAAAGGGCTAAGGAGTTTATTAGCACCAAACCAACACTGCAGAAAATGCTACAGTGACTCTTATGAGAAGAAAATAATGGGGAGGGGGAATCAGACATAAAGAATAAAAATGGCAACAAACAAGTACCATTATGATAAATAATAACTTTAAATGTAAATTGACTGAATGCTCCAATCAAAAGATATAAGGTGGCTGAATGGATAATAAAAGATGACCCATATACACTGAGTGGCCAGATTATTATGATCTCTGAATGCATAATAATCTGGCCACTCAGTGTGTGTATCTGTATATATACATATACAGATATGTAGAGGCCAGGCCCAGTACATGAATTTGTGCATGGGTAGGGTCTGGCCATCCTCGGTGGCAGGGGAGGAGAGGGAGAGGACATGGGCGGTTGACCAGCCTGCCTGCTGATCAAACTCCTGGTCAAGGGGACAATTTGCATATTAGCCTTTTATTATATAGGATATACACTGAATGGCCAGATTATTATACATTTAGAGATCATAATAATCTGGTTACTCAATGTATATGTGGTCTGCAAAGGATCCACTAATAACAAAGGTCTCATCTTACAAAGACTGATAAAGAAGGGATGGAGAAAATGTTTTCCATGCAAATGGAATGAAAAACAAAACAAAGCTGAGTTAGCAATATTCATATCTGACAAAACAGACAACAAAAGGAAGGCCATTTCATAATACTAAAGAGATAGATATCAAAAGAGGATATGCCTCTGGTAAAAATATATGCACCCAATATGGAGCACCCAAATATATATATATATATATATATATATATATATATATATATATATATATATACTTCTGGAAGACCTTAAGGGGGAAATTGAAAGCAATACACTCATACTACAGGATGTTAACACCTACTGACATCACTGATATTATCTTACAAACAAAAAATGAACAAAGAAATAGCAACTCTAAAGACATACTTCATCAGGTGGATATAATTGACATTTACAAAACATTTCACCCCAAAGCTACAGAATATACATTCTTTTCAAGTGCAGATGGGACAGTCTCAAAGATAGACCACATAGGACTCAAAATATGTATCTACAAGTTCAAGAACATTAAAATCACATCAAGTTCCTTCTCAGA